TACGTATACACGCCGGGTGTAGCGACAGAAATAGCTGAATTACACGCGACGCCTCTGGCACCCCCCCCCCCCCCTCTCCTCCCCCCGAGCTACGTTGACCAGAAAGAGAGAGAAGCCGCACTAGCTTCGAGTCTCACTTTATTTTTTTCCCCGATATATTATATATGCGATGCAAGGAATATTACATACTTCCGCGTGTACAGATGTGTAACGTACAATGGCACGTTGGGCGCGAGAAAACGCAGAAAGTACACACAATACCTTGGATCCTTATATATCTCCCCCATATGCTAACCGGTTTTTTTTCTACTTTTTTTGTTTTGTTCTTCCAAACCACACCCAAGCCTGTCTCCTTTACATTTTTCGCGTCTCCACGCACTTATTGATTCGGAGATGGCCATTACCGAATCGATTGTTTCCCCCCGATCAGGATAAAATGCGATCTCACGGTAGAGGCGACAAAACGTGCGGAACAAGCGATGATTCTTTTTTTTTTTTTTTTTTTTTTTCTTTGAGGCATGCGTGGTTGGTGAAAACTTGCGTGTTTTCGTGTCGGAGGAATGCGCGAGGCACGTACAACATCTCGCTGGCGCGTTGAAAGAGAGGCATTGGGAGGGGTAGGGTGGACGAGGAAATTGGCACTTGACGACGCGCTGAGCTTTTGTTCGAAATTAATGTGCATACTTAGACCGCCTTTAAATAAACGCACGGGCGTACGGGCAATAGCCACAATGCATCTCGTTGTATACCATGTAAGCCGGAGCTTGAGAGATTTGACGGGAGGAAGAAAACAAAAATAAATAAACAAAATATGTGTAATAATGCGCAAGAGCATAATATACATGTGTACGATTCCAGCCCATTGTACGTCAAAGCCTCGTTGGCCTTGATGTTTTACTATGCGTGCGTTGAAAAGCTCCACATCGTTGACTCGTCTATGTCGCCAACAAACAATTTCGTTTGGGAACTTCGAATGCCAAGGTCGTATAGTTATTTTTTCGTTTCCCATTGTACGTTGTCGGTTTTTCCAAGACGCTCGCCGGTTTCTTGGTGTATCCATGCGGGACGGGTGTACAGAGCCAATTGCTAGAGGAAGTCTAAAATCTTTGGTGACAGATGGTACCGATTCGTATTTTTTGGTTTTTTTTTTTTTTTTTTTACATCACTAATTTTATTGCAAGTATAATCGTATCGAAGGTCTTACTTTTTTTTTTCAAAAGTAGTTTAATGGAAATATTATCTTTCTTTTCCAGTAATTGTAACTTCTCCTACTTCACTTAACTTGAGAATTTAGTTGTAAATATATACCGGTGTTTAAAACATGACATACACGTAATTGTATCTTTCAGAGAATACAAATGTGAAAATTCGTAGTTTTAATTTTTAATTATTGTTTAATATTCATCAATTATTAAACGTAATCTAATAACATTGACTGAAATTAACACAAGCCACTTGGAACGTAAACTTTTATTCATAAACACCAAAATGTTTTAAACAATTTTTTGGTAATAAAACGACTAAATAAATTTCAAGCAAATCAATTGGATGTAATGCACACGTGCCTATTGGCCTATTCCTCGTTCGTATAGCTGCCAAAAAAATGTGTTAATTGAGAACGAGAATCATTGTGATGATACCAGTTAACGGTATACCAATGAATTGCTAACAATAAGACTTAAGATTCCAACGAATCATTTCTCTTTCTTCACGATGAACACAGTTACAAATTACCTTGTTAAAAAGGTTTGACTCTAGACTTGAACAAAAAAAAAAAAATAAACGATAAGGAATTTTTTTGCTTCTTGTACCTACTTCTGCGAAAAAAATATTATTGATTTACGCTTGAAATGCTCACTCGTAATAATTGTACTTGTTATTTCTCGCTCTTGAAAAAATTATCGTTTCACTGGAAACCATGTAAGTTGTAGTTTAATTTTTTTTAAAGAATTAAATCGAAACAACTATTTTCATTCGAAATTAATTATCAACACTGTTGGTACTCAATCGCTTTTTTTTTTTTTTTTTTTTTTTTATGAAACCGATAAAGATTGCAAATACGAGGAAGCCTTGATTTACGATAGACTCGAGTTTACGATCTGCCCGACAACCTATATTTACGCGAGCTCGACGAGGTGTACTTGGTTTTTCGACTTTTCCAACGTCATTCATCCCTCGAGTGTATCATGTGCTCTGTGGTGGTGACGAAAGAAAAAAATAAAATCGTGTATGGATTACACTTGGCCTTATCTCCATGTGATTGCATCCCGCGATAAGCAGTGTCTATGATACGGTGAGTCAATAATTGTTGTTTGCCGTCGTCGCAGCGCGAAATCACGGGAAAATACGCATTCGATTTTTTTTTCGTTTTTTTATTTTCAAGTGATAAATTTCTGAAATTGCTACGGATAATGATAAACGTCTTATGTTGAAAGATTATAATTAATTTAAAACCTATTAGTGATAACAAGAGCAATAAAGCGAGTTATTTTCAATCACGAGTATTGTACGCACAAGAATATATTCATAATATTTTTGTCTCTGCGTGACGTTTGATTTAACGATTTTATGAATTATAATGAACGAATAAACTTTTTTAATCATTCGTATGGACTATTGTTTTCTTTACTATAAATATTTACGCAGATGGAAGTGATGACTTTTGATTTTGTATTTAACCATTTTACCAAGTTGTGCGACAAATCATCAGAGTTGCCGGAATACATTAGTTTTTTTCAGATATACCTTATAAAAAGACTTCAGCCACCTTTTAAGACTTATATTTCTTTCCATTCTCTGGTAACATGTTTTTCAGAAGCCAAAGTATTTAATTACGAAATTTAAAAAAAAACGAATTTGCATAAAATCTAATGTTGATTTTTTGTGTATCCATGATAATAGTAGTAATTATAATGATATTAATAGTAATAATAAATCAAATTTTCAATATTTAAGCTATCTTAACAACTTATGTCATTGAGCACGAGTATTATCATTATTCGTATCCGTCCGGTATAATTTGATTTACTCAAATTATATCTAACAAGCACAAATTAGTTTTTAAAATTATAATAATGACTTATCCAACGATTCCAATTGTACAACGACTACTGATAGTTTATCTTTCGAAACACGTATCGTTTTTGTTATCCATTATTTTACTTTTCCCGATTTGTTAAACACCACTAAATCGTTAGTTCCATACCAATAATTTGTACTCTGACTCTTTGCTGCTTTTACTTAATATTTGTCTTTAGATATTGAGGGTAAATTTAAACTAAATATTTTAGGTAAAACGAGAATTTTTTATTATTGGCAAGTACTTCGACAATTGTATTATGTTTTCGATTGGAGGACACTCGAGCCTCATCTTGAAGAGTTTAATTTGATGGTAAAAATCTTTCGACTAGACTTCGAATTCATTAGGCTTATTATATTTCGATAAGTACACAAACTATGTGCATCCAGCCAAGGCCGGGTTCTTATCAAATTAAATCATCGTGAAGTATCTATTTTAAAACAATACGATTTATTACAGCAAATATCTCGTGAAAATTTGAATTTGAAACAAATGAGTACTGGGTGATATTCATATCGAGTTGACTATTGCTCTTTAAAGTTTCGAATGAAAAATCATACATTTTAATAGCAATTACAGACTCGGTGTTCTTAATGTAGCACATGACGCAGGGATTAATTTACGAAAAAAGACTTTTTTTTAATATCTTTCGCGATAAAGACTACCTTTTCGAAATCGCCTTTTGCGTGCGACAAAACCAAGTTTAAAGTATCTACTTTGTGTATTGCACCGTGGCCAGTTTTTATCAGAGAAAAAAATTGTCGTTATTATACTTTGTCGAGGTGCAAAAACGAGGCGTACGAGCCCAGAGCTTCTGAGACAATGGGGGTATACATAATGTATATGTAATAAACATTGAACACCATTTGACCGACTAGTATCAGCTCAAAGACGCGATACAAAACAATTACACTTACAGCTGTAACAAGAAGTACAAACAAGATATATACCGATGGAAACGATCATTGGGATTTGTAAAAAAATCTTTAACGCACCTAACGCCCAATACCAAAAAAAAAAAAAATCCAAAAGCAGAGTGCGAGGCAGGCGCTCGTTCCATCCTACCATGCGTGCGAGTGTGAAAAAAAAAAAAAAAAAAAAAAAAAAAAAAAAAAAAAAAGAGACACCTGTTGCACCTGTTCCGGATGAGTTGCCTATGCGCACTACGACAAGCACATAATATGTCGTTCAAACTATACTGGCAAGGGCTCTTCTTTCGATCCTTGAGCCCCCACGAATTAAGAGAACCGATTATCTATCGATCGCCACGAGGTATCTGAATCCCTTGGTTCGAAGAAGAAAAGCTCTGGAGTCTCCTCCTTGCGCGCAAACAAGCTCGGATCGACGAGATGCGGATTCTTTACTCAAGTGCGCGAGCTATAGGGCCCATCACAATAGACGCGACACATACATGTGTATATTATATGCAAAAACAAAAGTGACGGAGAGATGTTTGTACGGCAAAACGTATATTGTATTGTATTGACGAGTTGACAATACGAGATCGAGTGAAAACTTTCAAGCTATGCCGTGAGTGGTGTAAAAATAAAACGTGCAAAAATGAAGGACCGGCAATTAAGAGACCGGCTATAGAGTATAACAGTGGCCTGCACGTGGAGCGGGATTGCCACCGCACATACGAGGCATGGCCATATCTCTCTCGCTGTCTTTTGCACTGGTTGAGCCTCTGCATGGCAGGCACACGAGTAAAAATGTATTATACACGCACTTTCGCGAAAGTGCATAAAACGGGTGTATATGTATACATATACGTGTATACGGGCAACAACTCTCTCGATCGAGAGTAAGAAGTAGGGGGCGGACGGGCCACTGCATAACGCCGCGAGGAGGAGGAGGAAACAACAAAGAGAGAGAGATTGTGTAGCAAAAAAAAAGAAGAAAAAGCCTCGAAAGCACGAACCTGTTGCTCTTCTCGCAGGGCTCGAGATGGGCGGTGATGATGTCGAGGAGCTTGTCGGTGCTCATCGGCTCGTCCGATATACCCTGGGCCCGCTGCTTTCGCGGCCTGGTCGGCGAACTCGTGAGGGGCGGCCCCTTGAACGGCAGGACGCTCTGAAACTTGTCCAGGTGGCTCCGCAAATCCTGAATCTCGGCCTCCCGCTGGACCAGCTGCCGCTCGAGCTCCGCCACCCGGGCGTCCCTCTGCCGCAACAACTCGCGCAAACCGGCCATCCCAAACTCCCCCGCGCTATCGTCCCTATGCGATTCCGTGGTTGTTGTCGTTGTTTCCGGTGCGGCCACTGGTGTTGTTGCGGTGCTTGTCGCTGTCATTGGGGGCTGTTGTTGGTGGCGGGTACAAGCCGGCTGTTGCTGCTGCATGGCCGGTCGAGGTGCGGCCGCGGTGGGCTCGTCCTCGTCGTCGGCGAGCCGCTGGGGCGGCGACGAGAAGCACAGGGAGTCCAGGCAGACGCGCATCGACACGCAAGCGTCGCTTATCAGCCGGCAGTCGCCACCCCCGCCCCCGTCCATCCAGGCTCCCTTGGCGGGCTCGCCCACGGCCGCCGGGGCAACACTGGCAGGTGTACCAGGGGACGAGGAGGACGGCAATCCCGATAGCGTTGCGGGCGCCGTGGCTGGCGCTGCCGGTGTTGCCCCCGGACCGACGACGCCGGGGTGCCCGCTTGACCCCAGTAGCTGCGAGGATGGCATGCGAGCGAGGCCGACCCCGGAAACGCTACGAGCTCCAATTACTGCTTCCGCGAGCCAGTACCACCGAAACACAACAACAACAACAACAACAACAACAACACATGTATTCCACGGGATATATCTGGGACGCCTATGTCTATGAGCTGTTTGTGCAAACGTGCGTGTGCAATGTTATATCGTATGCTTGTTGGGTGCAATTGGACTCTCCGCGCTCCGAGAGAAGTGGTTTTTGCTTTTTTCCTCCTTCGCGGCCGCGACGACGCGACAGAGTCGAGCGACGGGCCGACTGTCGCGTCGAAAACTACGCCGCGCTCGGCAGCCGTCGTCGAGTGTCAGCAGAATGTGGGGCCCTCGGGGGAGCTCTCCCGACCCACGTGCCCCTCCAGGTCGATCGAGCGCGCACGCGCTCTACTGGCCACCGCCGGGCAACACCCGCGTTTCGTACGAATCGGTAATTTCTCGAGCACCTCTTGGATCTCGATCGGTTAGATCGGGATTTCGCATCTCGCTGGCGTTTCCATTATAGCGCTCGGTTCGCCCAAGGGATCGACCCTTACGCCAAATGTTGTGGGGTAGCGCGTGTAACTGATAAATCATACGTTTTGTTTGTTGTCTTTTCAAGAAATCGGTAACTAATCGGTTAATAAATGTTTGGGGTGATCCGTAGAGCAATGCGAGTGGGTAGTAATTCTGTCAAGGCGCGTGGACAAAAAAACCGATCGATTAGCGAGCATGAAGTTTAATCGGTTCTCCCGATAATTTTTCGATGAAAAAACCCAAAGTGCAGGATAAATCGTACGAGATAGCATGCGTTTGTACGTATACGTAAATCTCGGATTATACGGAGCTGGGATCAATGCATCGATACTGCGATTGATTGGTTGAGTAGCGCGAGGTACAGACAAGCGCCTTAGCCGGCTGATAGTAAGGATGGTTGCCGATCTCGGGTGGAATTTTCACCGACTGAGTTGGTACGGGCTGTTCGAAGCGCTCGTCACGAATTGAGCCATCGCAGAAAAAATACTAAAAAAGAACATGTTTTTGAGCGAACGAAAAAAAAAAAAAAAGCTGTACTTCCGTAAAATCTGTTGTTTTTTTCTCCACCACATATTATTGCAACTGCACTGTAATGACCATTTTTAAATTAAGTCGATTTACGCACGATGGTGCTTACATTTTTTGCTCTGGTGAAAATACTTACAAGTTGCTTCTGTGCAGCAGGCATGTCTAAAATTGTAGAATTCAAATACACTAACTTTAGGTTGAAACACACGAAGAAAATGTTGGTTTATTAAAATAAGGATGAATAAATAATTCAAATGATGTTGAAGACAAATTTCGTTAATTAACGATTTTCAATCGTTGTACTTACCAAAAAAATATAAGTCATATAAAGTTTCACGTCATTTAATCGAATACTTAGCTACTTAACTATTTTTTAATTACAAAGTTATGTGAAAAATTTATGATTCTCCGAACGGTGTAGCACTTTTATAACCATTAGTTAAATTTTACCGAGAACTTAAAAATGGCTTAAAAAATCGTTCATGTGTCTAATGCTTTTATAGTCGTATCGTACTTGTTTCTAATCGACAAAATATCTGGAAAAATTTTTGTTTTACAAGCAAAATTATTTCAACCAAAGCTTGCAAAGATCTTGAAAATTATATATCTTCCTATAATTTGTTACTCTTATCCAAATATTGCTATTGTGAAAACTGTACCTGGGAAGAGTTAATGTAGTGAGAAATGATTATATTTGAGATATACATATATTGTTAAGTAATGTCCACTTTCTTCAACTTAAACATGATAATCCTTGTATGCATATTGTAAAAAAAAAAAATAAAAAAAATACTGAAAGAATTATAGTTTAAAAAACATTTAAGAATTTTTTTATCATGATACCATAAGTTTATTAATCATTCATATTATTCATATTAATTAAAGAATATTAAAATAAAATAATTATTTCGAAAAGGGCATTCAAGTATTAAATTAACATAAACTCAATTTGTAGATTGAGAAATCACAGCGTGTTTTTTGAAGAATTTTGTACTAAAAATTATTATACATTTAAACGTTTAAGTTATCAGGTTTTTACTCTTTTAAATTAAACCAGGAAGAAAGACAGTGAACGCAATATTTACATCAAAATCAATGTAATTGATGTAATTTACTAAAGTTTTGAAAGAATTATATTCAATTTCTCTGAGACGATAAAACAATACTTACATCAGATGTGTAAAAATTACAGTTGACATCATACTACCGAAGTCAGTAAGAGACGATATTTAGGTATTTGATAAAAACTAAGGATTGCTTTAGAGAAAATTAGTATAAAAGTTATTCAAATAAGATAATGTACAAGTTAATGTGTGTGAAAAATAAAAATGTTTTGTCGCAAAATAAATTAAAAAATCGATTTTCCTCCAAATAGGTTTTAAAGAGTCAGTAGATGTCTTGTAAAACAACAGGTCAACGATGTGCTCCGAATCGGTATTTCATTCGGAAAGTTTCCAAAGATTTCAAGGAGTCAAAGCCGTACGGACTACAGCTAAAAATAAGAAAAAAAAAAAAAAAGAAAAAAAAAAAAAAAAAAAAAAAAGATTAAAATTAGAATAGATTAGCGTTTAACGTTGACAATGCTTTATTTTTGTACGATTATTCATAACCGATTTCCGAGTGTTAAATCGTGTTCTTTATCTCCTCAGTTTTTTTTTTATCAAATAGTCTCCAAATGTAGCAGAGTCCTTGTCGACTCTCGAAAAGGTAAGAAAATCAATTTCACCAAAAAATACAGATCGGTGTGCTGTACAAACGCGATACGTGACCAGCCTATCTCGGTACGCACAGCTTCGAGATTATCCAACAATGCTGGATACCGCATTCACTACTTAATTAGCTCCAGGCGAAAGTTAAAAATAACAGTATAGTATCAGGCGCACGAAAAAAGCAAGGCGATAAATAAATGGTTTATTTTACGGAGGAAAATCCAAGCCTTGGGAAAGCATTTGGGATATGGCACGTAGGCCTGGCTTAGCGAGTACACTTAACACGCGTGTAATGGATGTAAATATCGGAATATACGTACTGGTGTGCATATTTTTAACAATACGCCTGGCGCTGGTTCCTTCGAAAACCGCCGCAAACGAGTTTGTCGTTGTCAAAAAGCTCAATGCACGATGCGTCGAGAATCAGTTGAAAAAAGATTGGCTATACGTACCTATTTGTATAGTAGATGAAGGATTGGGAGGCTAACCTCTTGTCACGTTTCCAAACTCCCAACCGAGTCCTCACTTTCCTCAAGCCCCGCAACACTTTTCCGTACATTTTGTCACGCGGTTGCGAATTTTCGAACGTCACAGATCAATTGTATGTATATTATATTACCGCGATTACATTAATCGGCGCTTGATCGGGGGTACACAGTACGTATATACTTAGAGTCGACTCATACTTTTGTTCCGCCAAGTTCTTCGGGCAGAGTCGAGGTGGCTTCTTTTTTTTTTTTTTTTTTTTTTTTTATCACTTTTATAATATTTCCAAAGAAAGATAACTACAAATTAATTGCTTTGTTATTATTACCACATTTAGTGTCGAAGAATTTGTGCGCGCGTGCATTTGAGCACATCATCGGTACCATTAAAATAATAAAATTGTAAAAGTGTACGTGTTAAAATAGCACTGCGGTACAATCTTTTTACAAGAGATATTCCATTTCATGGAGCCCTTTTGGTCATCATGACACCTAAATTCGGCGAATCGTTTCGATGTATTATTGTTTTAAATGTGTCTCGAGCGTATTGTTATGTAATGTTTGAGATTTTTTTTTTTTTGACCCTTCTCAAAAAAGTAAAATGTATTTCCCTGTGTGGACCGAGGCGTCGCATTGGTACTACTACTTGGAGTACCATTTAGAATCACGTACGGGATTTCTTGTGAAGATGATTTTGGTAATTCTAAGTAGAAATTTAACAGTAACTTTGTAGTTGGAAAACTTTTAAAAAATATCATTTTACATTATATTTTCACGTCTAGTAGCATCAGAACAAATCTGTTTTAAGTTCTTTCATAAGGAAAAAAAAAAAAATAAATACCTGAACCTTTCTGTCATAGGTGTTGCTACACGGGTGGTAACAGCAGCAATGACCATGGTAAATAATTAACATGAAATTCAATTATTTGTAACTATTTTGCCGATTGTATAATTCCTGTTTGAATCTCTACTTTGAACTCCACGTGAAATTCTCAATGGCATTTTAAACCTCATATTGTACTATTACACGTGTAATATTACATATTATCTATTCAGTAGATTTCATGGCGTGCCTAAGGGGACAACGGCTTTTACAATTCTTGGCTGCGTTAATTTTTTTTATATTTTAATGAACGTAGATTAAGTTAAAAAAAAAAAATAAAAATAATAATAATAATAATAATGTAGAGGAAGCCGAGAAAAACTGCAAGAAACGAAAAGCGTCTACAACGATCGGCGTAGCTGTTAGTAAATCGGCAGCATGCATAGTTGTAAAAGCAAGAAAGACAAAGAAAGAGGGCTCGTATATAATACTTGTCTTGACGAAAATGTATCTGACATCTGGCCCGTGCTCGTAAAAGTTTTAAATCATCGGAAAAATTTTCTGAGAAAGAAAAGCTTTTTGTTTTCGTCAATTTTCTTTCGTTGAGGACTGGTCTCAAGTTTTATCCCTTATAGAAAAATCGGGAGTTACTTTGTCGTAAAATTTATTTAATTTTTTATTAGTTAAAAAAAATTGTTGTCCAGTAGAAGCCTGGTTGTTTTTCTGTCATCAAAAGAAAAAAAAATGTTTAAATTGCATAGCTGAAAAAACCGTGTATATCGTTATTTTAAAAAATTGATGGATCATTTTTTTAAATGATAGGGCAATTTCTGTGATTTTATTAGTTGACAAAAAAATTCATGTTTTATTTGTTTGTAATGAAAATTAAATATTTGATATTTCTTAATATTAAGAATTTTAGCGATAAAGATGAAATATAAAAATAAACAATACAAATAAAAAATACTAAATACAAAAAAAGTGAGAGCCTGACACCGGCTATAAGTATTTAACATTTAGTCCTTGAAGAGCATGTGTATTTTCGTCGCACATTCTGTTTTCCCTTCACTCTCTTTCTCTCTTCCTTTTGTTTTTCAAGGAGAAAAAACTTTAGTTTGGTCTCCTATACGAGAGGAGTCAGGTATAGGCACCAATTTTAGTGGAGACAATAATTCAAACACGTGGTACTTATGTATCTTTATATCAAGAAGAAAACGAGCATGTTTTTGAATATTA